TGGATCTGAAAGATGTTGGTTCTGCATCCAAGAGCTGCGTCCATTGATACAGACAGCCAGGAGAGCTGACTGGAACTCCGTGACTCCACCCTGTTCAGCAGCTCCAGAGAAGAAGAGGACGAGGAGGACGATGACGAAGAGGCTATAGCCGACTGGGAGGATGAAGAACAACCCTTTCCTCCACTAGATGAGCCCTGGCCTAGTGAGCGTTTGCCACGGGACTCCTCCAAGCGTGCAGTCTCCAGGCACAGCTCGCTCTCACTGCTGCGCTGCAGGATGGACAGGAGACTGCGGATGACCCAGCCACGCGTCTGAGAGTGATAGCACAAGTTACGCAGCACTCGGTGGAGGCGGCTGGTGTTAAGTTTGGGCTCGTCCACAAAAAGCAGCACAAGAAGGCAGGACAAGGCCTCGTGGTCCAACAAGAGACGCCCCCGCAGGCGCAGGAGAGAGTCAACGTTTGAACTAGAGGGTCTAGAATTACAAACAAACAGAAGAAGAGATTTTTAATTACAATGTGAGAGCTGTAAGGGTGTATTTTAGCTCCCACAACTTCCTGAATGAAATTGAATTAAATCCTAGGATGCCAGTCAAAGGAGGGAAAGTCTAAGAAGACTAATTAACATATTATTCAAAATACTGATTTTATTACTTAATCCATAATCATTATGAGAGGAAGGGTTTATAGTTTGGGATGTGTATTAAATCCAGTTTGAAGCCATAACATCTTTAAATCTAGTGCACATGTATTCTAATAAATACATTTTAGCATCAAGCCCTGTCAAAGCGAACGCTCACCTGCAGTGTTGGGTAAGTTACTTAAAAAAAAGTAATAGATTACAATTTACTGATTACTACTGGAAAAAAGTAATCTAATTACATTACTATTTATGTCATGTAAAAAGTAATCAATTACTAATTACTTTACTTTGAAGTTACTTTTAAAACATAAAATATACCTATAAAAATACAAAACAAGCTGCTGCTCTTTCAGTAACTTAATATTCACTGAAAAACATTACAACAGTGGTGTTCCAAACCCGTGTGTCTTTTTCAACACAAAAGAAGAAAACTGGATACCTGTAACCACTAACATCCATAGTATGAAAAAGCATTGCAGTGTTTGTCTGAGGTAAAAGTCTACCAAAATGTATATTGGGGTTGGGCGATGTCATCCTATTTGCCTAATGTGAAAAACTGCTATGGACGATGGCCCCGGTGAATTAATTATGTATAATTCATAACACATTAAATATTTGTAGCTTACCATTTCAACTACCTGTCCCACATGGTTTTTGTTTATTTACGAACCAACCACCAGTATCTGAGATTACTAAGTACAATTGTGAATGGGAAAGATTAAAGCAGTGTACTGACGCGGTGACACATTACCTGATAGATTCAAAAGACTGAAGAGTTATTAGACAGAGATGAGATTAATTAAATATCACGATTAACAACTACAGTGAGACGCGATCTAGGGGTACATCCTTGATAAACTGCCCGACGGGCACTGTTCTCTGGGTTTTGTGTTTAAAGCACTTGCTGACTTCTGGAGCTCAGACGCGTGAATACACTGCAGCATGACAAAGTGTGTGTGTGTGTGTGTGTGTGTGTGTGTGTGTGTGTGTGTGTGGTCACGTGATGCGTGTTTTCAGTGGTACAGTGTGGAAAGAGATCTTTTCAGAAATGTTAGATGAAACGCCAGTGTTGATGTGAATCAATTTCGTTGTAAAATGCCAAGATGAATTAGTGTAAACAGGGCCTAAGTGTGTATTTTTTGAGAGTGTGTTCCTGCTCTACAGGGGCGGAGGATCGCAATGCCAGCTCAGCATCGTGATGTCTATTGACTGAAATAATGCAATTACACTGACTTTAGTAAATGTAATCTAATTACACAAATTTAGAATGTAATTCGTTAAATTACTTCGTTCCTCAAAAATGTCATTAGAGTACAGTAACACGTAACTGTGGAAAGCTTTACACCCAACTTTGCTCACCTGCTATGATTGGCACTCCCTCCCATTTGAAACGTCCCTCCTCTTTGCACAGCCAGCCGGGTGTACTGTACCCCACGGTTGCCCCCGAGGCGGCTGGTGAAGGCGGGAGAGCGTAAGATGGCAGACAGAGCTGAAGAGGAGCTGTGACCGAACAAGCGCTCGTGCATCAGTTGTCTCTGTCTGGCCTCTTGTTCCCTTCGCAGTGCTGCAGCCTCTGCTGCAATATCTGGAGGCATGACCGCTAGTACACTGTCCTCCATGTCTTCCAGAACGGAGCGCCGCAGCTCAGAGGGCAGGGTCTGGATGAATGTGACTGGGTCCAGAGGTTGATCACCCTGTGTGGGTTGCTGGGATAACTCCCGACGCTGCTGCTCTGCCCGCTGCTGGGCCAGGACCTGATAACAAATCATCACACATCAAATTTCCGGAAGATTTTTTCTGTTCAGACAAGTATAGAATTGTGCACTATTACCTCTTCCTGAATTGCAGGTGGGAGAGCCGCTAAGAATTCAGGGCTGACTTCGGTCACCCCTGGCCCTCCTCCTAGCACAGCACTAGCAGTGGTTGTCAGAGTGGAGGCGACAGGAGGTCGAGAAGGAGGTCTGATTCCCAGTTGGTTCTGCAGCACCTCCCGACGAATGTCTTCAGGCAGTGCTGCCAAGAAAGACGGATCCACGCCTTCAGGTAGACTGATGCCTAAAATGATGTGATACAAACATGTGTAAAAACCAGAACACACCAAGCCAAAATCAAAAAACTGGTCCCATCTGGACCAAAAAGCTGCATGTGAACACAGCAAATGAAACAAAAAAAATTATTTTGGCATAACTCTAAGGGTGTACACACAACTATGTAAAGTTGCATCTTTTATACACTATGTCAGTTTGCGTTTATTGAAAAGTAAGAAAGATCAATAAATCCATATGGACAGTTCATTAAAAGTGACATCACGTCTTCAGTTTCAGGCTCAGGCGCGCTTTGCACTCACACGACAAACATACCGCGCCAAAGCCCAACCGAACCAGGCTCTGGCCCACCTCTTCCACATGGGGCCAGGACCAGCAAACTGAACCACGACTTGGACCGATTCAGAGCACTCACACTTGTCAAACAAACCGGGAAACGGGCTGGGCATGGTCTGGATCGCATAGTGTGAGTAAGCCCTAAGCTGAAATACCAACCTGCCAGAGGGTCCTCCTCTTCATTGCTGGTGGAAGGGAGGGGCTCCTCCTGGATGGCCTGCGACTGGCTATCGGCACTGTCACTCCGAGGCATGGTCTCGCCAGGAGATGAAACAGAAGTTGATCTGAAAAAAAGAAGACAATAAACATTATAATATTCATTCTAAAATATTTTTGAGAAAAAAAAAACTTTGGTGGCTAATGCTAAGTGTACTAGTGTAACACCCACTGACATAAACATTTATAAAGATACTTTCACTATTATTTGTATTAAATTCAAAGTAACAATAGAAATTTTAAAAAAAATTGTACATTTACCTTTAACTGCAAATTATAGAAGTAAGCTCCTAACTAGACATGGTGTAAGTAATATTGAACTACCTGACACTACTTGATCTTTACAGGCCAATAACTGACTCAGGCTTGACAGACCAATTAAAAGAATTAAAAGACTAACAAAGCATTTTGTCAGCTCCAGAATCCTTAACCTAGCAACATGTGTACATTTGCAAATATTTTAAAGTACATGCTCTGTCAAATATTACCCCAGCATTATACCAGTCACCCTATTCTAGACTTTAAATACTGAACTGAGTATGGAAGAATTTGCTAAGATGGAATTAGATTTTTTTTTACATGTTCATTTTATTTGTAACCACTATCAGTTAATTCTCAATAACGCCCATTAAAAAGATATCCAAAGAACATCTATACATTTACAAATATTGTAGATCATGTGTAGCTTAGAATAATCAATTAACAATGCTGCAAGGGATCGTGATACTGCTTGGTACCGTGATATTTCAGCTGTTGTAGTACTATAAGATACGTTTATGGAATTGTGACACTTCTACTATCAAGTACGGTATTTCAACTCCTCACCCAGTTTCTGCATCTGTCTGCCTGTCTGTGAGGCCGCTGTCACCACTTCCTGATAGCTCCTGAGACATGTGATTGGATGGAACTGAGCTGGCAGCCGGCTCTTCCTGCGTTCCTGAAGCGGGACTGCTCGTATCCATGGGCGAACCCTCGAGTTGAGACACACCCACTGGCACAGGCTCTGAACTTTCAGCTATATCTGGACTGAGTGAAGCTAATACAGAGACAGAAGCATAAAAACTCAACTCATATTTAAAATTGGCCGAAAATTCAACAATAGCAAATGCAAAAACGGGAAGTACATGCAGTAGTTGCATGTAGAATGCAGCAGGATTATACAATAATTTTGATTAGTTCAGGCTCCTCCAATTTATTTATTTATTTTTTTTTGGTGAAATAAGGAGCAGAATTCACAGTGAGGTAAATTCTCTCCACTGAACTGCAAAGTTTGAAATCTTATTTTACAGGATTCAAAGTTAATCTACCTTCCCTGACTGCATCCAATGCTCCTCCTCCTCTCTCACCAATAGTGGGTGCAGGTGACATCTCCATCTGAGATGCTTCTGCCTCACAATTTGGCCTATCAGGTGCTGAGAGCTGGGGAAGCCCTGCCCCTGCCAAGGCTCCGTGAGAGTCAGGATTGGAGTCGGCCAGCAGCAGCTCTGTGATTGGCTGGTGCACCTGCTGACTGATGGCTGTTTCCAGAGACACGAGGGCTTGTTCATGGGGGGCAGGGGTGGTTGGAGTGACTTCTCCTGATGGGGGCGCTGTGAGGAAACCCTCAGAGGTGCGAGGAGGGTCCAGACAGGAGGACACCCCACTCTGGGCCTGTTCTCCTTCTGACAACATGACAGAATAAAACTGTGTAAGTGGTGTGATAGCTTCAATGAACACAGTAAAAAGACTAGCTGAAGGTTATTAAAAAGCAGGACGTGTGATTGAGAGTCTGCATTATGGAAGGCAGTAAATTGTATAGTTATCTCCTTCAAGGGCCATACTATACTGATCCCCAACAACAACACAACTTACTACCTCACCACAACACAGCCAACTCCAGACGACAACATATTAAAGCTGCAAGCGAATAAACACCACATTGTTCATATTGACAGTAATGCGATAAAAGCAAGCCATGTAGATGTAAACCTATAAATAATTGAGTAGTTGCCTAGAAACAATTGATTGATTAAGCAATTGATTGTTGCCTAGCAACAGTTGCTGCAGTGATGAAGGCAGGTGGGAAGATCATCCAGTTGTCGAAGCGGTAACCGTGGGAAAGACAGTAGACTGTATAGTTATCTCCCAGATCTGGTGTGATCCTAAAACTATACAAACTACTACCTCATCCCACAGTCCACAGCAGAGCTCCATCCAGAACTCTGGATCTTTGTGAAATATGCAAATAAGGTTCAAGTTTGAAATTTTTTAACACAAAAAACAGGGATTTCAACATTATCATCAATAAACACTGAAAATATTTCTAGCAAACATTTAGTGTGCTCTCACCTGCAGCATTCTCTGCAGCTCCATTGACTGTTCCAATCCCAGAGCCCTGTGGGGAAATACAAACAATTAATGCACACAGTGAAATTTAAATGGAGGTGTTAATCCGTTTTCTTGCTGATACACATGGTCCTGACACAAATGAACACTGACCGAACAATATTACGATTGTAACATTTTTAAAACAAAAAGAAAGTATTTTTTGGTTTTTGAGAGAGCAAGATGTGATTGAGTAAGATCCCCTAGCTAGGACTCATCCTAAACGCCGATTCATACTTCTGCACGCATATGCAGCCTACGCGTGAATGCATAGCCCTCGCCGTGGCTGTTGGCAACCTGCACCTCTCAAAAAAATGTAACGTTGTGTAGCGCAAGCTCTGTGATGTGAGGTGAGAGCCATGTGAGCCTGATGCAGCGAGTGTTTACAAGTGTGGAGTCCCGTAAATAAGCTCCGGAATGGAGACTATTGTTTTTCGTTTACCTTATGACTAATGCTGTTGCACGTCCGCCGATTCCAGCCTCAAAATGAGCAAGTTTGAGCCACTTGTACATTAGGGTAGCGTTCAGGAAAAAAAACACCAGCAAAAAAACTTGGCACAGAGAAACACAAACACACACTGCTAGCTAGCGTTTTGGAGGTGTTATTGCAGAGCAACAGAAACAGCGTGCAGATGTATAAATACACGGCTATGTGCGTCATGGGTCACGCTAATCACTTAAACCAGGCTTAAGCATAACCACTTGGGATGTCCTGATCCGATCATGTGATCAGAAATCGGGCCCGATCACGTGGTTTTAGACTCGATTGGAATTGGACGGCCCTGCCTCATTTGGCACTATACACACACACACACACACACACACACACACACACACACACACACACACACACACACACACACACACACACACACACACACACACACACACACACACACACACACACACACACACACACACATAGAAATTGTGCCGAATGAGGCGGGGCTGAGAGCCGTGAGGGCGTACGAGGCGGGTGGTGATAATCAGAGACAACTGGATGCATCACCTGCCTCGAGTCTAACGAAGGTGCCCTGGAAGTTAAAAGGAGGAGAGACACCTGTGCTAGATAAGTGAGGACCAGGTCTTGACCAGGCCCACTCACAGACTTTCATAAACATTTTCAGTCTACATTTAAAAAAAAAAAAATTTAATCAAAGGCCATAATTGATTAAAACGATGATAAACAATTATTATTTTGCTGGATAAAGCAAGAACAAGAAGTGAAATGCATGATGTAATGTTGGTCTGTTGTCTTTTTTATGTATAAAGGAAGTATCGGATCGGGTTTTGATAGATACTTAAAATCAAATGACTGACTCGAGGGCAAAAAACCTGATCGGGACATCCCTAGTGTGAACTATCAAAGAAGCTATCTGAAACCCGACAGATGTTTGGCATGCTAAATATCTGCACCTATCTGCGATTCAAATCATGCCATGTGAAATGTGTTGTGATATAGTCGGTGATCACCTACAGTAAGTAAAAGAGCAGCATCCACTAGCATTCTCTTCAAAACCAGGTCAGCAAAATAAGTAAATTTTCTACCCCCTAAAGGCCTCTTTCTCATTATGTAGTTAATAAAACATTAAAATAGAGAGCATGAATACAAACATATATCCAGCCTCTGAACGAGTTAAGAGAGGATCACCTGAGCTTTACTGGTGCTAATATGGACTTGTTGCTCAAAAAAGTCGCTCTTTGTTTGCATAAAGTTGAAAATTTCTCAACTTTATCGTGTCGCATGACATGCCCACCTGGTCATCAATGGTCACTGATGCTTGCACAGACGAAGGTGCCTTGATCTCCAATGAAATGAATAGTTGTTGATGCTTTGGTGCTGGGAGTTACTTTTAGTGTGAATAAGGCTTGAGAAAGTTGTCTGTGATTTTTCCTATTTTAAAGTCATGCAGTGTGAAACCCCGTTGCTAATCCATCTTGCAGTGTAAACAAACCACAGAAGGAACGCTACCCCAGATGCATGACACGAATACTTTGAAAATCATGCATTCTGATCTCAGCATGAAACACTAACCATTATTAAGAGCATACAAAAACTCAGAGCAAAGATCTTTAAAGAAGAAAAAAAAAAATTTTTAACATTTTTATCCTTCACACATTTTTCTTCAATATTAGTTCACATTTTCCCTCTATTACCTGCAGACTCTGTTCCCTGGTCTCCTCCCCTGCTGCAGAACTCTCATTCTGCTTTGCAGTCTCCTCTTCCTCTGCCAACTGCCTCCTCCTTTTCTCCCTGCGTTCCTCCAGCTCCTCATCACGCAAACTCTCCAGGTGCTGCAGTATGGGCACCTTCACCACTGAGAGAGCAGGTACAAGACTTATAATTAGACATGCAATCAGAGCTTCTCCTGCAGTGTATGTTAAACAACAGATGCTATCATATATTCGTTCTGAGATGATCTCACCTGCCACACAGTCATGCATGCTCTCAGCATCCAGCACTTTACACTCATCTGTCCATCTGGTTAAGGCAGTCGGGATACTTGAAAGGGTGCCTGCAGAACAGAAGAGTTTAGCAGGTGCATCTATAACATGTATAAATGTGTGTGTGTGGGAGACTCACCAGCTTGTCCTCCGGTGCTGCTCTGCTCATGGAAGAAGTCATCCAGCAGCTCATCGTCTGAACGGGCAATAATGTGCACATCTTCATTACCCACCATTAAACGGGCACGACCTCGAGACTGCAGAGGAAGAGAGCTGGACAGCTGCAAGATATCAGCTGCAGCGCTGGGGCCCAATAATCTGAAACACAAACAAAAAAGGTCATCTGAAGTGCTTTGAAACGTGCAATATTTGTTCGACCTATCCTCAACTGAAACAAATACTGGGATGGACATATAGTTGCCCCTCACTTTATTACTATTTTAAAAACTATACATTATAACAGGGTACATGCAGGAATCCTAAAGGAAATTTTAATACCTTTAGAAGACTTTTTTTAAAACCTATGGTGAAAAATCTACTTTTTAAGCTGTTTGGACAGACATTTGTGTAGGTATAATGTGTCACTGTTTTAGAGCATTCTAGATTATAGATATCCTTAATAATAATATCTTTAAAAAAAAGGAGAAGAAGGAAAAAAAAAAAAACTTTCACAGGAACTATAAAAGGTAATGTCTTAAAATTTGAAGTGTATTATTTCATATCTGAAACTGGCACAAGTTCAGTCATAGACTCACCTCTGCAGAATGAGTGGAGGGTTAGGCTGACGGTTGCCAGGATAATGTACATGGATCGTGTGGCCTGTGTTGGCCGTGAGCTGGCGGAGAGAACGTTGACTACGTCCCATTCCTTGAGCCAATCTGCTACTGGTGCCCGATCCCCCAAGAGTCAGCGAGCCATGGTCAGCGTGACGCACCATCAGAGGGTGGGAGCTGGGGATATTTCCTGGTGAGGGAGGGATGTCAGCTGAAGTGTACAAAGACAGAAACAAATAATTCAGAGTGACACACTGGCAAAAAAAATATATTAAAAAGGAGAACTCATTTTAGGTAGCGGAAGGAGGTTTATTAGTTTATTTACCTGAAGTGGAGAACATATTATCAAACTCAATGATGAGGTCATCATCTCGGTCGAATCGCTCAAAACGAATATGAGGGGCAGCATTGATATCTGGAAAATCTTCATCCAGTTCCATCTCTGAGCCTTCATCGTCATCATCCTCATCTCCCTCTTCATCATCCTGAGTACAATGAGCAGGGCAGATGAGTAGAGAACATGTGAAACAATGAGACATGCGTGTGTGTGGTTGTAGTCACTCTCTCTTTACTGTAGATTATAGTTTGATCTTTAAAAAGAATATTACCTGATCTTCCTCCTCTTCTTCCTCCTCCTCTTCCTCTTCATCCTGACTGTCCTCATCCTCGTTGCTACCACTGGAGTCTTCCTCCTGCGTGTGCTCCTCATCTTCTGGCTCGAGGATGTTCATGGAGTCTAAATCAGAAAAAAAACAGAAAATCTGAAAGATGACTACAGAATCTTCCCCATACAAACCTGAATAGTGTGCAGAAAAACATTTATTTTTTTAACAATTTGAAAGTTATTATTTTTAACAAGTTTAAAATTTTAAACAATGTAAAATCTGCGTTCAGCAGTTCAGCTCACATAAATAGTATTGTGGCAAAATTCTACTTATGACTCGTTTCCACTAAGTGGTACGGTATGGTACGAGTCACCATTATCAGGCTCGCGTTTTTACTGCCAAAAGGGTACCAATGGTGTGCGTAGTGTATAACAAAGTTGCAGTCGACATCATTTTTGCTCAAGGAAGTGTCAAAGTAAAGCACTTCTCACAAAACAGATTCTAGCAATTATATTACATAAATAAATAAAACTCAACATATAGGAACACATCCAGACCTTTACAGTCTCCAATATGTTACCAATTACAGATATACTACACACAGCATACGTTTAGTCCGTATTAGCATTTAAAAAAAAAAAACACAAAACATATAGCCCACAGGTCGTGCAAACCTGCATCTTTAATCT